GAGGTCTGAGCCATCAGTCAAAGGTTTATGAGCTCAAGAACATCTCAGTGCCAGGCTTTGCCTTGATGCATCTCCCACCGGCTTGGGGACAACTGGACAAGTAAACGAGGAGGCCCAGGATACACACTGCTTCACCCTCCTCCTCCCCCTGCCCCAGGCCCCTGCGTGGAGAGAAGCCCAGGCCCAGACCCCTGGGGGTTTTACTCAACCTGGGTTTGTAGCAATCGTGGCCCCTAATGACGCACATGATCTTGTCCCCCCGCTACCCAAGAATCACAAGCTGCCCAAGGAGATGGACGGGCAGGTCCGAGGAAAACATTCCCTCCCCTTCCAACGCCTTACAGTGCAATGACTCCAAACACTGCTGTCTTCTCAGGACCAGCTGACTGTACGAGGATCCTGCTCTGTAAACTCACTTTTCTTTAATGAGATCAGCAGTATTTTGGGTACTTGATGGCTAAAACCTTTACACGGAACAGTACGTTCTCTGCAAAAATCCCTAGACAACATGGTAAACTATGACCCCATCAAACTATGTCTTATCAAATCAACCTGGACATAAAATGCCGCGTTTCAGCCAACCCTTCAGCTCACATCAGCGTGTCAGCTGTGGTGCTGGGACAATGGTTTTGGTCTTCTAAATAAGTTGAGATCATAATCTTTTTGTTGTTTCCTGACACGCAAAGAAATGGTTTCACCTTCAGCCTTTTCCAGACCAGGGAAAGATAACAAGACACTAAAGTAACCCTCCCCTCCCCGTGTGTAACTCCTGCCTACTGGAAATCTCCTGAAACAACAAGCTAAGTAAGCAAGGCCAGTATTTCTGCAGATGGGGGTCCTATGAAGCCAACACCTCTGCTTGAGAATGAATCATAAACCCACCAGCACTCCATTTCCCAGCATCATGCCACCAAGTCCCTTCTGTGTGGAACCATGCAAAATGAAAAAGAAATTGGGATTTTTAAATCCTGTTTTAGATTCATTTAAATTAATGGAGGCCAGGCCACCTCTTTATTCAAGTTGGGTTATTCTTACTGCTTCAATACCAAAGCAATTGGCTACATTGTCCCACAAAACAACAATAAAATTTAAAAAATACCCTGACAGGAGAAGACAAGTAGTAATTCTACAACATCTTACTATGCTGATGGACAGTGACTGTAATGGGGGTTGTAGGGGGGGGTCTTGGGGTAGGGGAGAGCCTAGTAAACATAATGTTCTTCATGTAATTGTAGATTAATGATAAAAAAAAAATACCCTGACAGAAAAATATGCTGAAACTCAGTAGAGAACACAGAAACAGCCTGCAACAAGCTCTGCCTTCTAGAATATCTAATGGAGGAAATTATCCAGTTATTTGGCCATGAGAAACAACTATTTGTACATCGTTACCTATTTTGCAGATTTTTGTGATCTACAAAATTAAAAGCACAATTTTTGTTTTCTAGCATAGCTTTTTTCCAATGGGGTTTACAAAGAACACCAGTGCAGCCTGAGGAAAGTGAGTCAATCAGTCTGAGAAGTTCTTCCTTTCCTATTCCGCATCTTGGAAATGACAGGTGACATTTACATATGGAAGATCTGGGAAGTCCTGCAATAAACTCCACAAAATGCAGTGTTTTCAAAGTTTCATTTGGCCCTGCAGCCTTTTTCCTCCCATAACACCCATCAGCTCCCAAAAGGGCTGCTCTCAGAGCACCCTTAGAAAAAGATTTTTCTAGAAAAGGGAGATGATGAAAATGATTTAACAGCTGAGACTCTGGAGTCAGCCTGATTCAAATATCAGCCTCACCACTTGTTAGCTGGGGGGCATTAGACAAGCTTCTTAACGCCCCTTGTCCCGTAGTTCCCCCAGGTAAGATGGCGTCATCAGAGTACCTACCTCCTCGGCGTGGGTGTTTCCGTATGACTGGATCTGTCCTCTGAGAGCCTCACGTGGCCAGTTCCTTTTCTGTCATTGAGGTCTCAGTTCACAATGTCACCCCCTCCAAGAAGCCTTCCCTGACCACCCAATAGGAAGTCAGCCCCCTCCAGGCCAGTAGGTCTTCATCCTCTACTTTATGATACTTGTCTGCTTAACTATCAAGTTGTCTGCTTCACTCCAATAGGCTATAAGTGCCATGAAATCCAACTTTATCAGTTACCATCTCTCTATCCTAAAACTGATCATCAGTAAGTATTCTGAATGGACAGATGAAAAGAATGAATGAATAAATGAGGTGGTTGTGAGAATTAAATACAAATCACTGTAAAGCACCCTTCAAAGTGCCTGTCACATACATATCCGTCCAGATGCTGTTATGAAAGCTTGTGATGAATGATGAGTGGTTATGGCCCTTATGCCCATAATTCTTGCCCTATTTAACTTACATCTTCTTGCTATACTGTGCGTAAACATTTCTTGGTATTTATTTAGAGGTGTGTAGGTGAATGAGGTTTCTGGGATGAGGTGGGGGTAGCCCCTTGGGAGTAGCATTTGCTGACTTCCATGGTGTAAATACTTCCACCATGACCAATTTCAAGCCATCAATGGTTTAAAAGCAAGCTCACAAAATTCCTGAAAAGGTAATAAATGGTTCTCACAAACCAGTACAATCCTTCTGGGGAGGGTCCTTACAGGCCTCCAACTCTTACTTGTTGAGTTCAAGTTCAAATGAGATTTTTACAAAGGCACACCTGTTCCACATTCTCCCTTCTTGATGAGCCGAGGTAGGAGCTGCCCACTGACTTTCACCCGATGCCTGAGAGAACCAGCTAGATGTGTTGGTACTTCAGGTGCCACTCTTTGTGGGCCCTTAGACTGATGTTTAAAATCCTAAGCATGATCTATTTCCACCCAGACCCCTGTGAGGGCCAACTGATCTTAAAAAACACAAACTGAATTGTGTATATTTGTATAAATGGAGGTGTGTGCACAATGGAATCAAGGCACCATCTTAGGGGCTACCAATGAGCTGAATGTAATAACACAGGGAGAGCGACTCTACCCTGCCCACAGTCCCCAGCATGGAGTGAAGATTGATGCTAAGATCAATGCTATCTGGCATCCCAGCCTTGCTGTACATGCAACATGAACCATGGACACCCAAAATAAAAGGGGCATTTTTCAACTATAGCAATCTACTAACCACAATTTTGAGATAGCACAACCAAAACTTCAAAATACAGTCAACTCCACGTGCAAGTGATGACATGCCAGTAATTACTTCTTCTCTTCCATAAGCTAATCAGAAAGTCTATGAAGTCAGGCAGGAAGAGATAAGTTTCTGCTCCACTGGACTAGCCATCTGTTGCTGGGTAACAAATTACCTCAAAATCCAGCAGCTTCAAACAGCACACATTTATTATCGCGCAGTTTCTGCAGATCAGGAGTCCAGGCACAGCTGATCTGGGTCCTCTGCTTCACAGTCTCCTAGAAAGCCTCAGCCAAGCCAGAGCCTGCCCTCTCACCTGAAGGTCCGGCCGGGGAAGGATCCACTTCCGAGCTCACTAAGTGGCTGTTGGCACCTGGCAGGTCTTTACGGCTGTTGGAGTGAGGGTGTCAGCTTCTCGCTGGGCGTTGGCTGGAAGCCACCCTCAGTTCTTTCCTGCATGGGCCTCTCCCACTTGGCAGCTTTGCTTCATCAAAGCACACAAGTTGGGAAAGCAAGAGAGTCTGCTAACGGTCTTACGTACCCCAATCATAGAGTGACAGTGGCATCCATTACCCCCTCCCTAGTCTATAGTTTAGAACCAAATCACTAGGTCCAGGCTATACTCTAGGGGAGGGAGTTACACAAGGGTGTGAATTCCACCTTAGAAATCTGCCCATCACATTTGGCCTCGTGGAACATGGATGGAAGTCCAAGCCCAATAAAACATCTCTTTAACCACCTGATCACACAAGTAAGCCATATGATTTGCGAAGCATGTTGTTAAGGTCTCATAAATACAAAACAAGGGAGAAAAGGCCTGGAGGACACTGAGTCTGAAGATACAAAAGTCTGCTCAGATGGTCTAAGCAAATATAATCTACATCAGAGAGCTTCTGGGAGCATCTGCATTAGCAAGTCCCAATGCGGAGGCCAAGGCTTTCTAAACAACCAAATACGTGACTTGCATGAAGGGCAGCCCTTCTGAACATGTATATAAAGCCAAGAAATCGAGCTTGGTCTGGAAGCAAACATCTTTTGAAATTTTTATTTATTGCTATAGAATATTTTTAAAATACATTTAATACCATTTTACTGCTTTTCTATTTCCACACAGTGCGATCTGTGTTTCCCACAGCATTTTGTCTGTGTGGTGCTTTTGAGATCCATATATGCCATCGTGGCAATGAATTGCTGTAAACATTTCAAACCTTGGCTACCACCCGCATTTTTCCTAAGCTCTATCCAAGCACGTATTCTGAGATATCTAAGCATCCCAAAATTCAGCGGTGGTGGCCTTCCAGAGAGGCTGCTTCTGAAAGACTCTGACTGCTTTAATCCCCTAAGTGCACAACGCCTCCTCAGAAAACTGTAGCACTCTGTCCTAGACAAATGAAAATGCAAACAAAGCTTACCTTAAATCTAAAAGTTCAAAACTGGTCTGCCCATTTTACCATCATTTCTAGAAATATCCGCATGCTTTTACTTTCTGCAAATCTTGCCCCCAATTGAGCAATAAAAAGATTTGGGTTCATTGCTTTACTAATCACCTATTTGCTTTGCAAATTTAGAGAGCCCAACATTCAATACACATCTAAAACTCAAATACTGTAGTTAAAAGATGCTGACATGTGCTGTATATGCTTGGATCCTGAATACATGTTGAATAATAGTGGAACATGTGTGTGGTGGGCAGAGAAAACAACTAATACAGTTTAAAGGCGATGAGCAGAGAGGAAGGGTTATTAAACAGATGACAGATAATTTTGTTACGAAGGTTGTAGACATCTTCCAAGCTGTAAAAATAACCTGGTAACTTACTTTAACTTGTAAAATATGGCTTTGGGGAAGTAGAGTGAAGGTCCTTACCTCTCTAAGGTGTATGTTTTCCTTCTCCTTCTGGTCTAAAATCACTTCTAAGTGGCTGACCTGAGACTCAGCCTCCGCCATGCGCCGCGTCCGTTCGTTGTCGTCCTCGAAGCTTTTGGACGGCAAGCCTTTGCTTTGCAACATCTCGAGCAGCTTTTTAATCGACTCGTCTCGGGCATTGAGGGTCTGTTTCTGCGTTTCAATTCTCAGCTCCATCTCCTCCAGGGTCTTCCTCAGAAGGAACAGCTCCTTGGCCTGTCTGTCGTGCTCGGCCTGGAGCCGCCGGAAGTTCTCCTCGGTCAGCTCGATGGTGAAGTGCTCGGCTCCTCGGCTGCCGCTCTCCTGCTGCAGGAGGTGGTTGAGGTCTCTCTGGGTCCGCAGCTCATCCTGCAGGGCCTGGATTGTCAACTGCAGGTGCTGCAAAAAGACAGGCGGAGCAGGAGAGGACAAAGAAGGGGAAGAAGTCAGTGGAAATGCCAAACGCTGCTGGCTGCTGCCACACTATGAAGATGGAATGTTAATCATGAGGTCCAGAGGGCCAGCCGGGAAGTCCTCCAGGGTGACTCGGGGAGCATGGGACAGCACATGGAGGGGGGAAATTAATTCAGTGATGCTTTCTGAATGTCTTAGGGGAAGAGAAATGCACACGTACACAGAACCAGTATATTAGTGTCAGTCACAAGGGAAACTATACATTTACAGAGGTTTTAATTTACGAAGTGAAAAGGGTTAGAGGGGAACTTTCACAAACACACCTTCTTTACACCCGAAATGCTCCAGACTCAGTATTCCTTGTTTCCTAAGGTGTGGTTTGTTCTACCGTCCATTATTTTCCGTGATAAATGCATTTCCATTTAAAAGCGAAAATAATAGCATCCACTACAAGTAGACACAAACAAGGACTTTATTTTTTCACAAATCAAGCTGTGACTAGGTTTAGTAAACAGGATTACTGCATCTGCAAGCAGAAGGGAACAAATGCAGACGGAGACACACACACACTCAAATGCACAAGGAGGTGAAGCCGAGAGATCAAACAAGCTGCAAAGAGTGGACAAACCTTGGTTCTTCGGGCATCCAGCAACTGAACAGCATGGGAAATGAAAAAGAATGAGGCAAAAATCAACACAAAGCAAAGTCCAGTGCAAGCAAAGGATATTCAACAGAGAGAATCAACATAAAATACTTTCACAGAGAAAAAAAAAGAAAGAAAAAAAAACAACAATCTGTTATTACAGCAAAGGCCCATAAGCTACACAGAATTTATAGCATTGATGTCTGATAAATGTGATATAAAAAGGAAAAAAAAAAAAGCAAACATGTGGTTTATACCACCTTTTGTTTTCCTAAACCCCACTGACCAAGGAATTCAAAGTCTCAGGTGTTATTACCAGGGAGGAGTGTGCAACACTCCCAAACTGCCCACATATTATTCCAGGTCACAATTTTAACCCAAATAAGAGTGAAAGCACCAGAGAAACAAAATAGTTGTTGATGGAAGGAAAGAAACCCTTGCATGAAAATGGTAAATTATTCAGCACCACCTTCGCCACTGCACCAACCCCCAGCTGGCCAAAGCAGGCAGCCACAAGCCTGAAGGCATTTTGTCCTAGGAACAAACCAGGAGCTTCGAAAACAGCAGTCACTCACTCATCCCAAACACCTAACAGACCGGAAGTAACGCTAAGCAAGGGACTCTAAACAGACCTAAAAGCATCGCTCCCATCTGCAGGGAACTCACGGTATTAGGAGGCATGGATGGTATATAACATTTCTCAGCCATATAAATATGGGAGCTGTCCACATTCTGAAATCTTTCTGAATTCCTACGGCTGACACCCAGAGGTGCTGAGATCTTTCTCAGTGTGGCCTACATCCAGAAACTAGCACTGGGTGACGTTACCCCAGGAGCACCCACTGAGAAACCCCCAGAGACCTGGGACAAAAGACTTTCTCATCTCCATGCCACAGTGGCTCACAGGGTACTGACCAGGAATTAACAAACCAGTATGTGTTTAATAATGGTGATTATGGGTCCTTTTTAATATAGTTCACTCCTTTAAAGTGTAAGATTCAGTGCTTTTTCGTACATTCACTAAGTTGTGCAACCGTCAACACAATAAATTTTAGAACGCTTTCATCAACCCAAAAACAAATCTGCACCCTGTAGCAGTCACTCCCCTCCCCTTCCTCCCTATCCCCTGGCCCTGGCAACCACTGATTTACTTCCTGTCTTTGGGTATTTGCCTATTCTGGACATTTCTTATCAATGGAATCATGCAGTAAGTTGTTTCTTTCACTCGGCACTTTTTCAAGGTTCATCCATGTTGTAGTAGGTATCTGGATTTCATTCATTTTATAGGTGAGTGTCATCCCATTATGGGGACATCCCACATTCTATTTATCCATTCATCAGTTGATTCACACACAAATATTCACGTGTTATTCATGGTAGCCAAAAAGTAGAAACAACCTGTATGTCAACTGACTGATGAATGAGTAAATAAAATATGGTATACCCATACAATGGACTATTATTTAGTCCTACAAAGCAATAAAGTACTGATGCACACTGCAACATGGATGAACCTTGAAAACATTATACCATGTGAAAGAAGCCAGTCACAACAGACCACATGTCATATGGTGGTCCACTGATATGAAATGTCCAGAATAACAAATCCACAGACAGAAAATAAGTCGGTGATTGCCAGGGGTTGGGGTGGAGAGAAAGGAGGGCAACTACTAAAGGGTATAATGTTTCTATCTGGGGTGATGAAAATGATCTGGATTAGACAGTGGTCTTCACTATTTGCAACTTTGTGAGTAGACTAAAAACCAATGTTTTACATGCTACATGGAGAAACTGCACGGTACATATATCTCAATAAAGCTGTCACAAAAAACATGAGGTTATAAGGTAATATGACCTACCTCCACGAGCAAGCTCATGCCTAAACCACATCAAACCGAAGTCCACAGGAGTCTCAACACTCCAGTCCAATGACTGGCTCCTGCCAAACCTCTTGGGAGCAAAGACTACAACCCTCTTCAAGTCATTCAAATATTCTTCATGATGGTGTATCTTTTTTTCGAACTGAAGTATAACTAACATACAATATCCTGTTAGGTTTCCGGTGTGCATCACAGTGAGTCAGTATTTTAATACATTATGAAATGATTGCCCCAATAAGTCTTACCATCTTACCATCAATCACTATACAAAGTTATTACAATATTATTGACTATATTCTCCATGCTGTATAGTGTATCCTCATGACTTATTTATTTGATAGCTGGCAGTTTGTACCTCTTAATTCCCTTAACCTATTTCTCTGCTCCCCAGCCCGTCCCACCAATTTACATTCCCACCAGCAGTGTATGGAGCCTCTCTTTCCTCTTCCTGCTCACCAACACTTGCTATTTTCTGTCTTTTTTAAACTAGCCAATCCAACAGCTGTGAGTGGTTTTCATTTGTATTTCCCTGGTGATTAGTGATATTGAGCATCTTTTCATATGCTTGGTGGCCAACTGTATGCCTTCTTTGCAAAAAGGTCTATTTGAGTCCTCTGCCCATTTTTGCATCAGGTTGTTTTTGATATTAAGTTACATAAGTTCTTCGTGTATTTTGGATATTAACCCCTCACATACATCAGATGCATGATTAGCAAATATATCCTCCCATACAGCAGATTGTCTTTTCATTCTGTTGAGGGTTTCCTTGGCTCTGCAGAAGCATTTCGGGCTGATATAATCCCATGTGCTTATTTTAGCTTTTGTTGCCCTTGCCTGAGGAAACTGGTCCAAAAAAATATTGCCAAGACTGACATCAAAGAGCCTACTGCCTATGTTTTCTTCTGGGAGTTTTGTGGTTTCAGGTCTTACATTCAAGTCTTTAATCCATTTTGGACTTATTTTTGTATATGGCGTAAGACAGTGATCCAGTTTCATTCTTTTGTGTGCAGCTATCCAATTATCCCCGCACCATATATTGAAGAGGCTGTTTCCCCCACTGTATATTCTTGCCTCCGTATCATGGATTAATTGACCATACATGAGAGGGCTTATTTCTGGGCTTTCTATTCCATTCCATCAATCTACATGTCTGGTTTTGTGCCAGTACCATACTTTTTTTTATCTCTATGACTTTGTATAGTTTGAATCGCGGAGTGTGATACCTCCAGCTTTGTAATTTTTTTCTCAATATTGCTTTGGTTATTTGGGGTCTTTTGTGGTTCCACACAAACTTTAGGATTCCTTCTTCTAGTTCAGTGAAAAATGACATTGTTATTTTGATGGGGATTGCACTGAATCTGTTTATTGCTTTGGACAATATGAACATTTTTACAATATTAATTCTTCCTATCCATGAGCATGAAATGTCTTTCCATTTACCTATGTTGTGTTCACTGTCTTTCATCAATGTCTTATACAGTTATCAGAGTACAGGTCTTTTATCTCCTTGGTTAGATTTATTCATAGGTATTTTATTATTTTTGATGCAACTGTAATTAGGATTGTTTTCGCAATTGATCTTTCTGATAGCTCATTATTAGTATATAGAAATGCAACTGATGCATGTTAATTTTGTATCATGTGACTTCACTGAATTAATTTATTGGTGCTAATAGTGTTTTGTGGCATCTTTAAGATCCTGTATATACACTACCATGACATTTGCGAAAAATTACAGTTTGACTTCTTCCTTTCCAATTTGGATACCTTTTCTTTTTCTTGCCTAACTGCTATGGCCAAGATTTCCAATACTATGTTGAATTAAAGGGGAAAAGGCAGGCATCATGGTATAAGCCCTAAGAGTTTTTCTTTTTTCTTTTTGTAATTCAAGTACCTAAGTTAAGCTCTGACTGCCAAGGCACCCACTTCAATGAAGACTATCTCAAATAAACACATCACCAGCCACACAACTAGGAACAGAGCCACCTCCTTCCAGGGAGGCCCCTTTGTTTTAGAGATCTTGGTTGATCTAAATAAGTGACCATTTGGGCCACTGTTTTCTCTCTTTCCATGTTTAAATTCCCACTCTTATGGCTTACATTCACCAATAAAGAGTAAGTCCATAAAACCCTAGGCCCCCACCCAGTAAAAGCAGAACCCCAGGCCCATGTGCACTCTCCCTCTGTCTCTCTCCCTGTAACCTCACTGTGGGGTCCCATGTGTGCTGTGTAATTGACAGGCCCTGTAAGCAATACACCTATGTTTTTTCAGAGTCTCCTGATGGGTATTTCTGAAGGACATCTTACAATCATAAAAAGAACCACAAGGGCCAGTCCAACCCTAGCACTGGTTATTGATAGGCTGAGACTGGCAAAAAAAGATTTCTGAGACAATCCGAGTTTATTTGGAGACAAAGATGATGAATTAGGATAATCAAACTGGAAATCATATTTTCTGGGAGTGACCAAAATAAGATGGGTTTTTTATGTGGTTCATGGACTGACCAGAAGGGAATTCCAAAGAAAAATTGCCAAAAATGTTTTTAAGAGAGACAGCAGCTTTGGAAGACAGCTCTATAAGGGGGCTGACCTTCTGGATGGGCAAGTTGCTTATTATTTATTATTCTGATCCTTCATCTCCACACATGCAAAGTGGGGATAATCGTGGTACATACCTCATAGGGCTGCTATGGGGAATCACTGAGAGAAATGCATCATGTACCAGGTTTGAGAGCAAAGGGAGGGAGGGCGTTTGGGAGAAAACACAGAAGGAAGGCAAGTAAAAGAGAAGAATGAGAGGCGGACAGGAAGGAAGGAAGGCAGGAGAGAGGGATGGAGGGAAAATTAGCCCATTTATGCACTCAGGATACATCTACCCAGTGTCTCCCTCAGACTCACGAAATATCAAAAAAGAAAGGAGAATGAATGGTCCTGTCTCACAGTCCACATGGACAAGGAAACTGATCATAGCAATACTATGAGGGTCAGAACAGAAATCAGAGCCAGGCAGCTGGAAATTCAGAGAGGATGGAACCCAGGCTAGAGATGTGGGGAAAACACTCCAAAGCAAGAGTACCACTGAGCGACATCTCAAAGAGCAAGTAAGAGTCACCCTGGGAAGAGCGACGGAAAGACAGGAGAAGGTACAAGAGCCCAAAGGCAAAGGCGGACCGGTACTTGCCATGTGCCATTCATCGTTTTTTGATGTAAGCTTTTCTAGTCCCCATAAGCGCCCTGTGAAGTAGCTGCTGTGATGACCTCCATTTACTGGCCAAGAAAATGGTGAAGCAAGATGGTCACCCAGCGAGGGAAGTGACACAACCAGAGGTTCATCCAGCCAGTCTGACCCCAACACCCCTGCTCAAACCACTATAGCGTCAAGTCTCTGAATGGCACCAATACTTCAGGATGGCTAGAGAAAAGAATGCAGGGACAGGGGAGGACTGAGAGCAGACAGACAGGCAATCATGGCAGCTACAGCAAGTCTCAAAACCAAGAATTGGTCACCCTAGGGAACCAACCTGGTCCTCACGCAGAGGCTGTCGTGATGGATGCTTCCAGGCGGTACACTTATTAAGCAAAATCTCCCAGGTAGCCATCTTATTAGTCACTAAATGACTTCAACATGAACAAACACAACCTGATAATCTAAGCACTAAAATTGAGTGCTCAAAAATTTATCACACCCATGCATTGTTTAGTTTTCATTCTCTTTTAAGACATTTAAATTTAAGCAGGAATCTCCTTGTTCCTGAAAAGGGATTCTTGAGCAGAACACATGTGCAAGTATGGAGTTTTGATCATCCCCTGCGTCATATACTGGAGGATGGAGAGGGGATTTGAAGTTATCTCTTCCTCTCCCTCATTGTTCTATTTTTAAGAAATTCAACTCACCTCAATCAAGTTTCAAAACTCATTTACCAGATGCCACCTCTACTCGGTATTTTATATAGACAACTTCAGTTTTAAAATACAAAAGCAGCACTTTTAATGAATAATCCACTTAAAAGTATATCCCATCTGTGCCTCGGGTTCCTCACCTATAAAATGGGGAGAGTAATAGTTCGTACTACAGGGGGTTCTTGTGAGTCAATACATACAAAGCTCCAGGAAGTACCAAGTACAGATTAATCAGGTCTATCAGTCAGGATATGTTACCATCTCCTGTCATGGCAACAAAAACCTATATTCTGAGAGACATAACCCATTTGACACCCTGATGGCATGGAATCCCAGCTCTCAGAGCTCAAGGAGACCCACAAGATTAGCTTGGGAACCTCATTTTACAAATAAGAAAATCAGATCACACAGGCCCAAGAGCATACACACTGCTAAAGCCTGGGGTCCTGGACTCCACCCAGGCGTATATTCCAATAACCCTAAGCATAGACAAAAATGGGGCGGCTTCTCACTTTAACAATGTAGGAAACAGCAGGACTGTCTCTTACAGGGAGGGTGAGAGTGGCCCTACATCACTTCACTTACACATCACTGGGTCCCATCCGGTAGTTAAAGAGCACGGGACACTCCAAGGACAATGTACTGAGACCTCCCATCTAAATCCTTGGAACCCGACTGTTGGCCTAGTAGAAGACAAACTCAGTAAGCACCAGCTCGAGAAGATCAGGGTGCAAGTGAAATCTCTAGCAAACCCCAGCACCTTCTCTCAGAGTCAAGAGGTAAGAAAAACGCAGCGTGTTTTTCAGTTCTGCCCGTCCCAGATGATTCAGTTCCTTCAGGATGAATCCCATGCCCCTTGTCAATGGCAAAAGCACATTTGTTTTAAGGCAGTCACCAAACCCCACTGGATCAGAAATCTGGAGCATTCCTTTCCACCTGTTACCCACATTGGGTACCTACCTATAAACCAGCAACCCGTGAGGATGTACCCTGGGGCTATCTCTTTGGAATCTCGCAGTTGTCACCATGGTCTCAACTTCCCAAAGCCTCATGCACTCCCACAACTTCCATTCCACTGCACATCTGGAAGAGAAGCCTTTCCACGGCCACCCACACTGGGATAGGACATCGCCAGGAGATCCAATCTGCTGCCTCGGTCCCAAAGTGCCTGTTGCCAGCTTAGCACAAGTGGCATGGGTGGAACAGGTGGACAGTTAATTCCCTTCCAGGACAAAGGTGAGTATGTGGTGGGAGGAGTACTCAGGGAGCTTTTCACTCCCCCTTCCGGAACCACTCGCACACTGTCCTCAGGAGTCAAGGTCGAGAGGCCCTTCTCCACGCCTGCCAACGAGGACACTCTCTCTGTCACACTGCCAGGAGTGCAAGGAGCGTGCAGCACCTCTACCCCACACCCGGCCTTTAACTCACTGCCTTCTGACACTGCCCCCACCACGCTTCATTGCACACTCTGAACTCCACTCTGGGTAGGAAAGTCTGGCCCCATCTCTGGTCCACGGAAGAAAACAATTCAAAATCTGTCCTTAAGACATAGATGAACAGAATGGGAGCTGAAAAGATTAGTCTGTCCAATTGATTCCAAGTCTCAGACTTAGTCAAGGAGGTCCTAACGACTTCTGTTTCTGGCGTTCTGGCAGGCTACATTTTCTGAGAGCTCCTCCCAGTCACAACAGCTAGAGAAAAGCAATATACCTTTCAAAGCATTGCTCTGCTTACAAAAAAGTAAGGAGATCTCCAAGAAAGAGAGAGGGAAAGAGAGCTTCTCAAGGACAGGTTCTGGGCCAAATCTGCATTATACCCCAACCAGCATGTAGTAGGTACTCAATAAATAGAGAGAGAGAACTACGGACAGAAAGACAAGAGGCCCAGAGAGGAAATGGTCTCACCAGACAGTGAGCACAGGGCAACGGTGTGAGGGGACAGCAGATTTCCATTCCTCTTTGCTCCCCTGTAGTTAGACTTGGGGGTGGGAGAATGCGGTGGGCAGGCAGGGGCTGTCTTTGACCTCAGATTACTCGTTCCTGTTCTTGAGTTCTTTAAACTCAAAACGCCTCACGTCCACCAGCTCAGTCATCTACTACATTACTCTGAGGCTGCCAGCACTCTGTCCACCTCACAAGAGGATAAACTGGCCTGGCTTAAGGGATTTGACTACAATCACATTGTTAGCAGACACCAGCCAATGTCTAAAATTGAGATTTCCTCCAGCCAATTCTAAAGTCTCCCCTGCTCTAAAAATACTACAGAATTTCATTTTGCACGACTCTTAAAGCTCCCATAGCCACTTCATTTTGAAAAAGGAGAACAGTGAAAATATAAAAACCTAAGCGATATTTGAGTTTATATGGAAAAGGGGGGAAAATACACTTTGCCTTAGCCAACGTTTCGAAGAGTGACTTCCAATAGCTACTGGAGTCTGAATCTAATCCAGATTCCAGAATGTCTAAAACACAAAAAGGTAAATAGAATGAAAACATAATTATATATGTATGATGTGCATGGAACAACAATTATTTAAATAGGGACTAGCCAGATGTTTAGAATCTACTGTGCCTTATCCCCAAACATGGAAAATATGAGTTCCTGGCAGATTTGAAAAAAAATTGTGACCTTAAGCTCTTTTCCACACTATGTGGAAAAAAACAAAAATGATAAAGTTCTGTACTATAAAGCAGCTTAGGGTTTCATTGCTATGAAAAACGTCTCTGAGCTATATAAAAATATGAATTGGCTTATACCCAAAAGTCTTGAACTTCTTTTTAATAAATCCATACTCCTTCTCGAGCAAGGGTTTAACATAACTCTTTCAAAGAAAATAGAATCTCTTTGCAGACAACTTGGCCCACTCTACTTCTGAGACTTTATTTTCCTATTTATCATTTTCAAGTTTGTCTCTAATCAAATTTTAAGGTCAGGTTCTCTGATCCCTTTTTCCATAATCCCATGTGTAGGATGTAGAAGCCTCTCGTGGCTTCAAACCTTCCACAGGCCATGTCATGTGTGTGAACAGACAAACAGCAGATGCTGGCTAAAAACATGTGTGCTGCAGAAGGGCTGCTCTGCTAGAAAGCTGGACAAAGTTAATATGTAGACATATGGCCCTAGGCTTTCTCCTTCAAGAATAAGCCCACACAGCAAACAGAGGATACCGATGGGTGATTTTTAAAAGCCCTAAAGCACCAGGATCCTTGCATTCTCACACAGTGCAGAACCCACTGTGGTTGGTTAACAGGTGACCATTTGCCGAGATTCATAACCCTGTAAACAGTGTATGTGGGAAAGCCCGCCTGGTGGTTGCTTTGTAAGCAAGGAGTTCTGGTTTTCATTACCAGTGAGTACTATAGGTGGCACAGGGCTGGAATGCTGAACTGAGATTTAAGGGAAGGACTTCAGTTCTAGTTCCTGCTTTGCTACTAACCAATTAGATGATCTGGGGAAAATCGCTAAACTTGCCTGGGCTTTGAGACCAGTGATGGTGAGCTGGGTTTTGAATCCTGGATCTACCTGTGACAGCCTATACCATCTTGGACAAATTACTTAAGTACTTTAAGCATCAAATTATTCACTCATAAACAGGAAATAGTAATTACTTGAACTTACAGGGTTCCACAAAGACTATATGAGATGCTCAAGTAAGTGAGTAAAGTTCCCATAAAGCACAGAGCACGGGGCCTGGCACATAATGAGGGCTCAGTAAATGTTCACAATCATTGTTACTGTTGAGACTCGGTGTGGTTCAACATCTGGAATTAAAATTTCTCTCCTTCTTCCTCCCGCTGGAGCAGGGAAGAGAAATGAGCATAACGAACATAAATTTTTGATCATCCAATAAATGTGACACTTTTTTAAGGAACAAAATGCTAAGCACTTTGGCATTTTTTTAAATAAGGGCAAGCAAGAAACAGTTGTTTTAAGACCAACTCAAAGATCAGTAAAATTGATTTCCTATTAACTCGTCTATAAATAATTCTACAAGGGGCTCTCAGGAATGCCAACCATTTGTTGGGAAGGTCCGGGTCCCTTCCCTACTATTAACCAGTAACACACGAGTCACTAAAGGACAATGGCAGCCCCCCCACCATTGACACCGCTCAACCTGTTACACGTAAAGAAAAACAAAAGTACCAGTTCAAGAAATACTGATATTTTTTTAATGTGTTCATACAGAAGCAACTCAAAACATGGAATCATAGAAATGATGGTTAAAATTGTGATTTTTCTGATATTAATAGTCACTGCCACATACACCTGTTAGAGGGCTGCTCTTTCATTT